AATTGTGTTGCCAGCCTAAAAAATGGTCTGAGGTTCAGGCTTTACTTTTCCTCTGCTCCTGTCCTTCCCATGTGTCCCCTGTCACTCAGCCCGGGTCTTACTTGCTCAATCACCCTCTGTGGCTCCTGTTAAACTCCTGTTCCCTTCCACTGCCGCTCAACCAGATCTCACCCCTTCTGACTCCCTGAAAGGATTGTCCTTCCCACCTACCCATCCTCCACCTTACTCCCTTCCACCTTGGGCCGGAACCTAGTCAGACCCCTCCTCAATCTTCCCCTCCTCCTCACACTTCTCAGCCTCCTCAGCCCCCTCAGCCTCAGCCTCCTCAGCCTTCCCCAGCCCTTCTACCATCCCCTGATGCTTCTCACTGTAGGTCACATCACGTTTGTCCCCTCAGTGAGGGGGCTGGAGCTGAGGGCCCCATCAAGGTCCATGCACCATTTTCCCTCACAGATCTCTCCCACATACAAAAGCGCTTGGGCACATTTTCTAAGGACCCCACTACGTACATTAAGGAGTTCCGATATCTCACCCAGGCTTATGATTTCACCTGGCACGACCTTTATATAGTCCTCGCTTCCACCCTCACCTTGATGAACTGAAGTGGCTTTTACCTTTAACCCCTTGCCAACACTTACCCCATTTCCCCGAAAATAAGACAGTGCCTTATATTAATTTTTGCTCCCAAAGATGCGCTAGGTCTTATTTTCGGTGGATATCTTATTTTTCATGAAGAAGAACACCATACAAATTTATTGTTGAGCAAAAAAAGGAAATTTATTACCTGTATATGGTACAGTAGTAGTTGTCATCACAAACCAGCATAACCAGACAAACTGTGAATCCTACAGTATCAGTAATTTCTTGTTACTACATTATTTCCATGTACAACAATCTCTGGTACATTTACTCATAATCTATGGTACATTTACTTGCACTTCCAGCTGCGCTGTGGCCAACAGTGAGCTGCATGGCAGCACCCACGGTTGCGATCCAGAGTCCAGCGCTACTATAGCTTTGGGTGGCCTTATTATCGGGGAGGCCTTATGTTTGGGGAGGTCTTATTTTCAGGGGGATGCCTTATATTTCAGTGAGAGGCAAACTGTAAGTAGGTCTTATTTTCGGGGGTTGTCCTACTTTCAGGGAAACACAATAGTTAATACAATTTTCATATTCAGTAAAAAAGTGTGAAGGACATCAAGCTAATAGCTCCCCTGGAACACGGGAAAGCAATAAAGCAGACCAGGTCACTAATTGAAACCAGACACCCCTGCTAGGCCTTTAGACTCTCCCCAATTAATCAAGCAACCTTTTAACAAACTCTCCTCCAGTCTCCACCTTTATCTTTACCAAACCATATTAAACCTTACTTTCTCTGCATGGATAAAGGGCAGGGCATAGCAGTTTCAGTCCTAACTCGGGCCCTGGGGCCCACCCACTCTCCATTAGCTTATCTGTCCAAACAGTTGGGTTTGACAGTCAGAGGCTGGCAGCCATCCCAACCTGGCGGCAGCTGCCATCCTTACTAAAGAGACTCTCAAACTAACACTAAGAGAGCCTATCCAGATGTTATCTACCCAAAAAATGCAGAACCTTCTCTCACACCAAGTCCTGTCTTTACTGTCTCCCCACTGCTTGCAAAAATCCACCTTATGTTTATTGAAAACCCTAACATAACCCTGCACCAGGCTCTCTCTCTCTAAACCCAGCAACTCTCTTGCCTGAGCTCCTGGACTCCCCAGGACCTAGCAGTTACTCCTGCCCACAAGCCATCCCTATCCTAAATGTACTAGTTAAGTGACAGACTGAAAAAGAAAATAAGAACCATCAATATGCTGCTTACAAGAAACACAACTCAGTCAAAAATAGGCTAAAAATAAAAATCAGGGGGAGATGACCACCAGCTAGATTGCTCACGCCTGGAGCTCTGTGGAGACTTGTGAGTGGGGAGACATGGGGCCCGAGTAGGGGTTTCAAGTCTGTCTGTCAATTCCCAAGACAACTCAGAGCACTTCTCTGAAACAGAAGCTGACTCCCACCCTATCGCCTGTGCTCCCTGCGAACACTGTGGTCTCTTTTGCGGCACTCTGGGTGCCCATTCTGCCTGGACCAGCACCACAGGGCAGCCACGTACATGGCAGAGGCTAGGGCCCTGCATCACTGCTCTGTGCAGAATCGCCAGCCAGTACCCACCACCCTGCACCAGGGTGTCCGGGGTCCTGTGTGGGTGCAGCCGGGGTAACCTCACTAGCTTAATGAACGAAAACCAGGTAACCATCCAGGAGGCTGAAAGAACGCCAGCTAGACTGAATACCAAGAAGTCACCAAGACACAGAGTTGTTAAACTATCCAACTATGAGGGAAAGGAGAAAATTAGGAGCAGCTAGGAAAAAACTGGCAACCACATATAAAGGCAAGCAGATAAGACTATGCTCAGACCTGTCAGCAGACACTATGAAAAAGAGGAGACAGTGGAGCAGCATATTCTGACAATTGCAGGAACATAACACAAACCTAGGAATACTCTCTCTGGCCAAATTATCTAGCAAAATTAATGGAGAGGTGAGAGTCTTCCTGGACTGGCTGTGTACAGGCCCTACCGATTCTAGCTCCTCCCCCACCTTCTCCTGGCTCTGCCCCGGAGAGTCCACTGAAAATACACACAATCTGGAATAGGCTTAAGTTTTTATTATTTCTTCTTTTAAATTTTCAGCAATTTCCCTTTTTTTTTAAGTTATAGGGAATAGTTTATTTTGGCAGTGAGTTAGTTAATTGTGCCAACCTGGCTGATAATCACATATGGGGCTAATTGAAAGGCGGAGGGATAAATGGGGGGTGAGCCTCGCCTTTTGAGTTCTCGGGTCTCTTACTTTGTGATGGTCGCACCAGGGTGCAGCTGCCTTTGCAGTTCCCTGCTCCAGCTTGCAAGATTGACTTCCTACAAGACATCCCCGAGGAGAAGCCACATGGACCTATCCCGATGCAGCCCTGGGTGCTGGAGCAGCCGTGTGGAGACCCCTGCTAGTGCTGAGATGCTTGTTCTTTCACTGACTCAGCTTTCCTCTTGCAGTCGGCATCATTGCCTCTGTTTTGTGAGGTGGAAGACTTTGTGGACTGGTGTTGGGTTAATGTTGGACTTGTGGGCTTGGGCAGCATTGGGTTGGGATGTTTTCGTGATGCACATTTTCTTTACATAAACTCTCTTATACATGAGCTGCTGTGGATTTGTTTCTCCAAAGTACCCAGACTAATACAGGCAGTTGGGTTAAAGAAAATTAAAAGTTGCATACATTAGTAACATAACTCATATCCTTAATTTGGTATATGTGTCATGCGTTTTGTTGCTTTCCTGTGTTCTGCTAAATCACCATATCTAAACTGCTGTATAAATCTGATATGCTGGAACTTATCTTTACTGCTTTCATTTACGCTCTGATTCTAAACAAAACTTTTCGTAAGCTTCTATTTCTGGGTCCATTTCATCATCAATATCCAAGTATGGATCACCAGCCCCCCGATAAATCTGTTCCATTTTCTTCATAATCTGGAAAAAAGCCTTCTCTTTCAAGTAGTTCTTGATATTTCTCCTGGTAATCTGGATCAGCTGCAGTGAAAGGAACACCACCAGATGTATAAAATGTTGGTTCATAAAATAGTTAGGGTCATTTTCAGGCGTTGCCTCACTATATGTGGAAGTTGCATGGACTCCACCCCAGTTACTGCACCGGAGTCCTACAAGCTTCAAGAGCATCTGTTTGACATGTCTGCTGCAATTTGCATCTAGGACAACATTTTCAATTCTCTGAATAATTTCTTCCAGATCAGTTTTTCCTTTCTCCTTCCAGGCATCTTCCAAAACGGACCCTGTCAATTTGAGTCATTTTACTGCACACATTAAGTTGTCATCCACAGGTTTGGAAAAGAGGGCATTCAGTAACTCCCGAAGACCAATCTGTAGAATATCTGCTCTTATGACCTGTCCATTTGTCCCTTTGATCTCCAAATTAAGATACAGTTCTCCTAGAAAGAGGACAAATGCATGAAATCGTTTTCGAGTTGCTTCATCCCCTTTTGCAGCTTGATCTTTAACTTCATATTCAGTCCGACATCTTTGAAGTAACAAGTGGCGGAAGTTGCCACTCTGTGGGTTAATTGTCAGATGATGCGACAGGTAGTTGCATAGACGAGCTCCCAGATAGGAGAAGTTTGGGATAGATGTGGCTTGTTGATAGATGAGTTCCACAAGGTCTTGCAAAGCGTCATCTGTGGTAACCCTGCCATTCAGGGTCTCTGCAAACTGTTCAATTTCAGTTAAGGTGATTCAAAAAGTCCTGAACATATTCTGACAGAGTAGGATAATCTTCACAACCATCCTCACAGGATTCTGTATAGTTAGAAGAATAACCTGATGGGTAAAATTCGGGAGCGTTGACGGACAGCTTGGACATTGATACAGGCGCTACAGCCACCTGGGGTTTGGCCATTACCGCCTCGGAGTTCTGCTGCTGCGGGGTTTGATCCCGTGAACTAGGTGGAGCTCTTGGGGGCCTCGCTGGTTCTGGGAGCGCCCCGGGCCC